TTAAACAAGTGCCTTCACCTCGTTTGCATAATGGGAATAATATCTCACTAGGTTGTTTTAAAATGTAAATTAAAAAATAAGGAAGTATAGAGAAGAAGAAGATATTACTATGAGAAAGCACCCACCATATCATCTAGCTTAAAGCAGGTTCTCAATAGTTATTCCAAATGGACTTGAGATGTATTTTGAAGGTAGACTTCTTGGTGGATAGACTTGATGGGTTGGCAAAAACAAAAAAACTTGATGGGTTGGATGGTTGGATGTAGGTCTTTAGGGAAAAGAGGAATCAAGGATGACTCCTAGGTTTCTGTCTTGAGTAACTGAGATGGAAAAGACTGGGAGTCGGGATAGGCATATTGGGCAAGGATCAAGGGTGCTACTTAGGACATACTCAATTTGCAAGTTCTGAGACGATCCAAATTGGTAGCTGCCAATGCAAATCTGGAGCTCCAAGAAGAGCTCTGGGCCAGATCAAATTGTCAATATCCGTTTGGAATTTAAATTCGTAACAAGTAAGATCATCCAGTGAAACAGTATAGAGGAAACAAGGACTCAAGGATGAGCCCTGAGGAACTTCAACCTTCACAAGTCACATAAGGAGGAATCAGTAAAGGAGAGCGAGGTTGGGGAAAAACTAGGAGTGACTTGCTGCAGAACCCTTAGCACTGAGGGTAAGGATGAGGGGAGAGCGGCAGGCCATGTCCGATGCCAGTTAAGGTGAGGACAGTGGAGTGTCCACTGGATTTGGCAACAGCGACATCATTGGTGATGCTCAAAAGAAAGGTTTTGGTGGAGAAGTCAAAAGTCAGAGGTCTTGACTTCAGACTGTTGTGAACAGCAAATGGCTTACTAGTAATCGGGGACTTACCAATTAAAGTAACAACGAGGGGCTTCCCTGGTGGTGCAGTGGTTGAGAGTCCGCCTGCCGGTGCAGGGGACGCGGGTTCGTGCCCCGGTCCGGGAGGATCCCGCGTGCCGCGGAGCGGCTGGGCCCGTGAACCATGGCCGCTGGGCCTGCGTGTCCGGAGCCTGTGCACCGCAGCGGGAGAGGCCACGGCAGTGAGAGGCCCGCGTACCGCAAAAAAAAAAAAAAAAAAAAAATGTAACAACGAGAGGTTATTCTTTGTACACTGATGAACAAAACTTTTTTTTTTAACTTAAAATTAAGTTTTGGGCAGGGAGGAATGAACACATAATTGGGAGTATACATTGGAAAATCTACATCAAAGGGCAGATTGTCAGTAGCAGTTGAAAATAAAGAATGTCCAGGGAATTACCTGGCCATCCAGTGGTTAGGACTCCACACTTCCACTGCAGGGGGCACGGGTTTAATCCCTGATTGGGGAACTAAGATCCTGCATGCCACAAGGAGAGGCCAAAAATTTTAAAAAGAAAATAAAGAATTTCTTTAATCTATGGTCAAGCAATTCACCGATCTATTCTAAAGAATGTCTTGTGTGTGTGCACAGGAAGCATATACTAGAACGTTCACTGACACATTGTTTGTAAAACAACAACAAAAAATGGAAACAAACTAACTGTCCATCAATGAAGGGATGACTATTCAACCAATGGTAAAAATCATTCTATTGGAAACTGCCGCGGTTGAAAAGAATGAGATAGATCCATCCATGTAAGCATAAATAGCTATTTGAACATATTGTTGAGCGAAAAAAGTTGGAGGAATATAGGTATTGTATCATACCAATTAGGGAAACACACACACACACAACACCACCAAGTGTTTCCAATAGGTACATAGGAGTATGTAAATGCATAGGAAATGGACCAGAATGATGCCAAGACATCAGTGGTTATCGTTGGGTTGAGCGGGGGGGAATTGGGATTTGGGGGAAGGATTTGGATTTGTCAGTTATGTTTTTACTTTTTTTTATTTACAGGAGAACGTAGCCATGTATTAATAACAGCTGAAATTTATATTTTTTAAAGTGGAAAGAGTGAATGGGTTGTGAGGAAAGTAGTTTATAAGCAGAGGCTGTGAGTTTCTCAAAGGGATGAGAAGTAACTCTGGTCAACAAGACTCTGACCACCATAGAGCAGTGGGTAAGAGGACCAACTCCACCCTGAGGCTGCCTAGAGCAGCTGGGAGCTTAACCCTCTGCCTCATTCTCTTGGCTCTGCTAGCAGATGACAGATCGTCACGGTGGCCTGAGACTATGAGATCAGAGTTGATGAACACAGTTTAGGCCCCAAAAGTTGAGGTGGGGAGTAGAAGGCACCTCTCATTTCTCTATTTCAGCTGCATCAAAAATAAGGGCACTGCTTTGATTTTTATTTTGTCATCAGTGTATTCTCTATGTGTTTGAATGTAGATGGGGACCAGGGGTAAGGGACTGTACCCCCCAAACCTTCAAAATTTAATGTCAGCTCAAGGAGGTTAGATATATGTTTTTCTGCTTTGTTTACTACTGTATCCCCAGCATTTAGAACAGTGTAAGTGCTCAAAAAACATTTGCTAAATGATTGAAATTATTGGTCCTGACGCTCCTCTTGAGAATAAACCCAAGTTCTGGTATTTGCGGTTCAAGCCACATGGTGAGTTTAGGGAAACCATTGCTGCTGGCTTTGACCTTGGGCAGTAAGTTACAGCTTTTATTATGGTCGTGCTGCTATTATAGGCACAGATGAAGCCGATATTAATCAGAGCTTTAATCTGCAAAGATCTTCTAAATTGCACAGAAGTAGAGAACATCACTATGTAGGTTTTGGTCTTTTAATGGTTGGTATTAGATATTGGGAGGTGGCACTCTATCAGCTGCACAGTCTTTGTTATTGGGAATCTCATTTCTAGTTGCATCTTTGGCCAAGTAGAGAACCAATGAGGAATGATGTTATTATGACTTTTCACGTGACCTGTCCACTTATTCCTGGAGTCATTACCCAATCATACGGCTTAGAGTTGACTCTGGAGTATTTTCTTCATAATCAAGGCTCTTCTGCTTATAAATGACTCAAATGCTAATTGAGCAGTTAATTGATGGTTTATTTTCTGCATATTTCTCTTCCCTTCTTCTTTCTCATTGATAACTAGTGTTGTTTTCTTGCCTCAAGGTCACATTAGATTATAAACAAAATTAAAGTTCTCAACCTAAGTGACAGACAAAGATTCTCAGTTGCAAGCTCACAGAGCCTATGAAATTTTCTCTTCCAAAGAATAAAAGAAACTGGAGATGAAGAAAGGGAAAAGCAAATATAGACACTGACCCAAATTGGAAAGGACGGGTGGGAGGGAATAGGAATCTGAAATAGACTTGCATTTGGGGGTTCAGGGTGCTGAATGGAAGAGATTCAGGGGAAAGGCTATCCTCGAGCATCTCAAGTATAACCCCATCTCTGCCAGTCTATGGATAACTCAGCAGCCAACAGCCCTGGATCTGAGTAAGGCCACCTTAACTCGAGCTTAAGAAAGCAACAACAGCATCAACATCTTGAATATTAGAGTGTTTCAAAGGCTGGAGGAAAAAGTCATGGAAACCAGTGTTTCAGAGACGGGAACAAGGGAAATAAAACTGCTACAGCTCTCTTTTTCTTCTGTCGTGAGGGGATGAGATCTCAAGGTCCTTCTACTCTGCCATTTTGTCCCTCCTCTCTTTCTCCATCTGTCTATCTTGGAATGATGAGAAGTGATCCCAGGGAACAAGAATGGGGACTGGGGAAATTGAAGCAGGAAAATGAAGGAAGCCAATGCAAGGAGGTGTTCCTGAGCTCAGCACTCCTGTGGGCGACTGTGACTTAATCCTGCTGGGACCCTCTGAGGAACCATGTGGAATGCATCTCAGAATTGTCCACTTCAGTGATGGAAGAGAGCAGCATTTCCCTACCCGCTCCCATCCCCCATTGGTGAAGGATTCCCAGCCATTGCAAATCCCGATACACTTGCTCGTCATGTGCAAAGAAGGGCAAGGTTTCCTGAAGGAAGAGAGACTGACATGCTCACATTCATGTTCAGAGCATTGCAGTTACTTGCAATTTACACGTCACTGGTTAAGTGGCTACATAAATTATACTACAGGCTTTAACTAAAGTAATCCTCACAAAATGGACAACTGGCTTAAAAGCATGTCAATAAAGAAACTGTTGATTGAATGTTCTACTAGAGTCTAGAAAACATGAATAATAGCAAGAATATATCATAGCTGATGCCTGAAAAAAATGTAAACCACTATTAGTGATTCTTTGAAATACAGACTGATTTACATTTACTATGGTTAACGATTAATCTTAACCAAAGTATATACTGTGTGTCAGATTTTTTTTTTTGCGGTACACGGGCCTCTCACTGTTGTGGCCTCTCCCATCGCGGAGCACAGACTCCGGATGCGCAGGTTCAGCGGCCATGGCTCACGGGCCCAGCTGCTCCGCGGCATGTGGGATCTTCCTGGACCGGGGCACGAACCCATGTCCCCTGCATTACCAGGCGGACTCTCAACCACTGCGCCACCAGGGAAGCCCCTGTGTGTCAGATTATTAACTAATGATATTATGAGTTTATCATGATTATCAAGACATGTAAAATTTTTACTTCACATTCATCTTACCCTTTAGATGCCTCTTTTGGAGTGCATAATATTTATAATAAACATGCATAGAATTAATATTCTTTTATTGATAGGGTTGTATGAACTAAACTGTTTGGAATTCACATCTCTAGGCTATGGGTTGGCAGAAGGAATAGGAAGAGAGGCTACAAGAAGCATTTGGGATGTGGACTTAAGTAGGTGGATGGTGGGACAAGAACAAGAAAGAATAAAAAGTGACTCGTAGGTTCACCCTGGAATGATGCTCAAGTGGGGGGGGACATGGTATATCTTGAGGATATCTAGAGGGTGTCCAGAGGATGAGATGGTTTTGGAGTGACGAGAATGAGGTAGACTATGGATGGGCATCAGTGCATGGCGGTCTCTTAAGATGACCCATTGTGTTTTCAAACAGAAGAATCTCTGACTGCTTGATCCAGCCACCTAGAGCCCAGGCTGGATTTAGTTTTCGCCCTCTAAGTAGAAGTTAGTGTTTTCGGTTTTGCCCCTCTCCTTGGTGAGAGTGACGGGCTGCCCACCATGGAGGAGGTAGCTATGAACCAGCCTGGGCAGGAGACTGACTGAAAGACGAAAGTGGAGACCTCCTCGATGCAGAAAAAGAGAAAGGGCTCCTGCCCTTTGAAGTTCCCACATAGGTTCACGATATTTTCCTCCTGGGCGTGGGAAAGAGGCTTGTTAGAAAGGATTGCTGGGAGGCGGAAGCTAAACTAACTCAGCCCTGGGAGAGTCTCATTTCCCCAAAGGGAGGGACAGAGGCCAGGGACACAGGCTGATGAAAGGGAAACACCAGCTTTGAAATAGGCAACCCAGGGCTTCCCTGGTGGTGCAGTGGTTGCCGATGCAGGGGACACGGGTTCGTGCCCCGGTCCGGGAAGATCCCACATGCCGCGGAGTGGCTGGGCCCGTGAGCCATGGCCGCTGAGCCTGCGCGTCCGGAGCCTGTGCTCCGCAACGGGAGAGGCCACAGCAGTGAGAGGCCCGCGTACCGCAAAAAAAAAAAAAAAAGAAATAGGCAATCCACTTGTTGCCAGTAGCTTGGCCTCACCCCAGGATCCCATCACACAAGGTGTTTCTGATTCCTTAAGGCAGCATGTCTTCCTGAGAACGGGGGGTGGGGGGTGGGGGGCGGAATTGTAAGTCTCTTTCATGGATGCACCCATCTGATGGTTCAGGCCAGTCTCACGAGATTCCCAGCCTCCAAGTGGGTTTATACATTACAGCTTCCATCATAAGCAGAGGATTCACTTCAAAACTACAGATCTTACTTTCAGTACGGGGACCATAAGTATGTCATCCGCAAGACCTGATTAACAATCTCCCCTCTTGTCTCCACTGCCTTTGCTTAAGAGGAAGCATCCCAGCACCTAAGAGAATTTCTGGGAGGCAGTTAAAGAAGACTGAGAATGGAGAAGCCACCATTCTTTGGCCTTTCTGAAACACTTTCATGGGTGTATTCTCTGGCTGGCAGAGGGTGCTCTGACATTTAAATGAGTGCTGCACCCATTCCAAAGGTCGCTTATATTGATTTGGGAATCAGCCAGGTCAGCTGTCCTCTACACTGAATACCCCGGATTGCACACCTGTTACTTTTATTCAGTAACATGTTAAATGACATTGAAAGTTCATCTCATTGCACTTCTCTCATTAGCTGTACAGCCGCTCACCTTAAGCTGCAAAGCAGGCTGGCCCTGGATTTCTGTACAGCAGAGACAGAGATTTTGCTCCTTGATTCCCAGGTAATATGGAGTACCTTTTCCACTACAGTAAAAGTCCGTGTCTGTACGTGCTGTTAAGGAAAGGAAACCCATTTCCTTTTTCTTCCTTAATATCAGAACTCCAGCTGTCACCAGGGCACATTATTTCCCCAAAATAAAAATAAATTTCCCACCACACTTACAGCTAACTTTGACCATATGCTTAAGGTGTAGCCGATGAGACAGGAGTGGAAGTGTTGTGTGAGATTTCTAAGAATGTTCTTTAAAAGTAGTTGACTCGGCTGGGAGGAGCTTTATTTCTTATACCCTGTGTCTTCATACTTAGATGATGGTGGAGGTGACCTTGAACTCGGTAAAGCAGAACACCAGACTCCTTGGATTCCGGTGGCATGATGAAGCCACCGTACTGGCCTTAACCTGCCTTCTCAGGCTTCTGTTCCATGAGAAAGAAAGAAACTTCTACCTTATTTAAGTCCCAGTTTGGTGGATGTTCTGTCCCTATCAGTTGAATTTAATTCCCAACTAATTTAGTAGGTGATTCCCAAGAGCCTGGGTGTTCTGCATCTATCCTTCTGGGCAAGGGGCAGGGAATTTATCCATTCAACATTCTTTATTGAGTGTTCATTCAAGACAAGACCCTGGAGATCTAGGTGAGAACAGGAGAGACATCGTCATTATTGCCACGGAAAATGAGACTAAACCATGTAAGCAGAGAAATGACCAGAACCACAGTAAATGGCAACACCTGCTTTGGGGAAAGGGGCCAAGGCCTGGGACAGTAGAAGACAGACCAAACTGAGAAACAGGAACCAAGAAAGACTTCTCTGCTGAGGTGAAGTTCAAACCAAGACCTTAAAGCTAAGAGGAAGCTAAGATGTGAAGAAATGGGAATCCGGTGGTGGAGGAGGTTGGATGAAAGTGTTGACAGGGACAGGAAATGTAAAGATGCTTACGTGGAAAAGAGCTTGATAAGTTCAAGTCTCCGAAAGAAGACTGCTGCTGTGCCTGAGATCGCCCCACTGCTCCCTTCCCCCCACCTCCCACCCCTAAAACACAAATAGATGGGAAGGATACTCTTCAATTAACATAGTAAGAAAGTCACTCTTGATGCTTTGTCATGGCTGGATAGGAGGCTACACAAGTGAAGTGGGAGGGGGGGGCAGTGAGGAAGTGATACAGTGATCAAGGTGAAAGATGATACGATCTCATAAATAGGCATATTTTGCACATAGACCCATCAGTGTCTGCTGATGGATTAAATGGAAATTGAGGAAAAGGAGGACTAAAGATGTCTCCTGTATTTCTGGCTCCAGACTGGGTCCATGAACAGTTTGTGGAGTCAGATCCACAGTTCCACTTGGGATAGGTGTAGTTAGAGATGTCTGAGAGGACATCGAAAGGACATGGGTAGGATTTTCAGAGGCGACGTCTGGGTTGGAAGCATGAATGCCAGAATGTAGAGGCAAAACATCAATCCAAGAGACCAGCTCTCAATCCCTTTAGAGGGGTGGTAGGATGATTGCAGGCTGAGGTCTGAAAATCCCCAACACTTGGAGATTTTATAGAGAAAGTAGAGTCAGAAAGGAGAATGCGGAGGAGGAGCCAGTGAACCACAGAGAATGTTCTTACCTAAAGAGAAGATGGAGAGTGTTCAAGAAAGAAAGAGTCATCAATTATGCTGACTGCTGCTGAGGAACCAGATGTGAGCACAGAGAAGTGGGTCTGGTGGCCTTAGAAAGAGAAGCTGGCAGGGAGTGGGCAAAGAACAGTTCAGAAATTTTATTGTTTGATGTAAGCGTGAACAGGAGGGGAAATGGAGACAAGTTGTATAACCAACTCTTCCATGACTATGGTTGTATGTAGAACAGTATATAGATTGCCACATAGGAAAATAGAATGGTTGTAGAAACGAAATGTGCAAATCCAGAGGAGGTTTTTAGTATTAAGCTTGGAAATGTTATATTAGAGCGTGTCTATCTGCAATAGAAAGAATCCAGTAGACAGACAAAGACAGGATATGCCAGGAAGAGAGGAATTAAATCAGACATTGAAGGAACAAACAAGAGAGGAAAGAAGCTGATTTGGATTAACTTTTTTTCATCTTTATTGAGGTATAATTGACATGTGATGGACTGATGGGAGGAAGGAATATTCCCCCATTATTAGAAGAAAGGACAGCAAATTAGAAAAGTGTAGGTATGATAATGGGAAGATGAAGGAGTTTAAATCTGAGGACAGAGGTTGCGACGGTTAGAAGAGAGAAACTCCAAGGAGAAGGTCAGCTACTAATTGAATGAATAATCCCTTCTTAACTAAGGACATTTTCTTTTGATAAGGAGAGCTGCCACTCCATCACACCCTCATTTCTGGGTACGGGTTTCCTTTATGTGAGGGAACCATCTTGCCCTTTCTTGCCGTTCTTGAGGACACTGGAAACTGGTTCCCAGGCTCAGCCCCATCCCCAGTGGAGATGATGTCCCTTTAAGAGGCAACGCAGTGGCTTTGACTGTCACTCACCAGCTTTGACATTGCTGCCAAAAGGAACTGCTATTAACCGATTTCTTTTTAGGACCCACACCATCTGCTGAGAATCACAAATAAGATGGTAACTGGGAATTAGGTGTGCTGCCAGATGACAGAAAAGCACAAAATACACATGAGGTTATTATAAACTTCAGGACTCCTATTGCATCCTGGTAATAAAGGCTTTTGAATTCCTAGGGGGAGATTTACTGCTTTGACAAAGAGTAACTATAGGAGAAAGGGAAGGAAATTAAGGCAGGGGCTGGTTTGTGAATCAAAGCATCTGAAAGGAGCTCCATGCATTCATAGTCCGAGAGATTTTCAATATTCACCCTTTTTTCTAGGGTTATCAGTGACTTGTCTTTTTCCCTGACTGATAGTTTCTGGGTAGTAACAAAACCAAATATATTTAAATCAGGCATCAATATGTTGTTTGTTTCTCCTTTACCCTCTTTACCAAAATCAATAAGCAGTTCTAAATGCACATCATAAGAAAAGAGCTAAATAAGATTTTCAAATGCGGGTTTTGTGATCTGAGTATTTTAGCAAGAGCAAACACATTTACAACTTGAGCAAATGATAGGGGCCCTTGTACCCTCTTTCGTTGGAGAGGGTAGATGGAAGTATTTCCAAGCTGCTTTGTGATTCACCACCACTTACCCAGGGGACTAAACTCCATGTTGGCTTCAGGGCTTTCTGTGAAGAGGACAAAGTAGATCAGATGGTGGACAGGTTGTGGTCCGCAGTTGGTCTTGTGGGGGAAGAGGGAAGAAAAACATCTTATCCGTTTCTCTCCCCTCCCCCAGAATTCTGTGTAAAAAAATTTTCGAGAAAGCTGCCCTGAGATCCTATCTTATCAATAGATGCACATTTGAGATTAAGGATGGGAAATCATGTTCCAGGGCCATAAAACCCCGGCTGGAAGCTCCCATCACTGTCGTGGCTGCAGTGGCCCTAGGATGCCCTCCATCTGTCACATCTGGGATTGTTAGGAGATTCCAGCGCATCAGCTCAACCACCTTCTAGTGCAGCGAGTCTCTGGATTCAGAGGAAGGAAGAAAGAATGTGTGCCTATCTCCCTTTAGCCCTCCATACAGCTGGTAAGCCACCAATTCTCCCGACTTCAAGCTTGAACATCCTAAATAATGGGCAGCTACCCTGTCTCTCTCACCCCCATCGTCCCCCATCCCTCATCCAAAGAGGCATCTCTAAGGATCCTGCGCAAGGACATCCATGGGCCCCATGAGGTATTTTGACTGTTAGGGGACATCCACCTCTGGGCTTATGGTTAGGATCCCAGGACAGTTCCCCAAGAAGACCACAAACTCCCCACAGTGAGAACCAGTTGTTCACACCCCTCTCTGCCTCAGGATCTGCAGTGCCTGATTCTATAGTCATCCCCAGAAAGGAAGTAAGCAAGCCACCACCTACCTCATTGGAAGCAGTCCCAGCTCCTCTGACACCCTGTGTCTTGGACCAAGGCCCAGAGAGGCTCCTCAAGGTTGGACACAGAACAGTGAAAAAAGGTTCCCCACACATGGTTCTGAACAGCAGGAGTTACCTTTGTCCAAAGAGATGCTCTTGTCCTCGAGTCCAATGTTCAAGCTCCACCTGCACCCAAGGGCCCAGTAAAGCTGTCCAGGACTCCCAGGCCTTTAAATGAGCAAGGAAGAAAGGTTATTTCCTGGCTCTTGGTGTGCCCACTTTGGCAAGAAAGCTAGTCCGGAACAGACGTCCTGTGAGCCTTCAGTGGGTGACTGGGAGGCAACAGTGGTGTGGCCGGGCTGGGGTCCTGGAGAAACCAGAGCAGAGTAAATGCCAGGAAGCACCAATGAGGAAATGAGGAAATACAGAAAAGGCCGGGCGCTGAGTGAAGGAGAACTTCCTTCTGGACTGCTTGGAGGCAGAGGTGTGGCTCTCCTGATTCACTGACTTGTGTGATCCATAGCCTCATTCACCTCTGATTTGAGGCAATTCATTGTGCTCCTTTCAGAGTTTTGCATAACCAATATTGAGAGCTCGTTCTGTATCTGATAGAGATTTACCTGATTAATCTTTTCATCCTCACAACAACCCTTTAGGGGCCATTCCTCTTTATTTGTTATGGAAGAAAACAGTCCCTGAGAGATGACAAAACTTACCCAAAGTCACATAGCTACTGAGAAATTTAGCTAAGTTAGAAGCCAAGTCTCGGGACTTCCCTGGTGGTCCAGCGGTTAGGACTCTGCACTTCCATTGCAGGGGGCATGGCTTAGATCCCTGGTCGGGGAACTAAGATCGTGTATGTCATGTGGCACAGCCAAAAAATAAAGATAAAAAGCCAAGTCTTTCTGTTCTTAACCACTATGTGATATGTTTCCTTTGGGTCATGGTCTCCTGCACCTTGTGTTAACTGAGGCACATAGGAGGCCTTGTGCTCAGTGGTGGATATTCAAAACTGCACTGTGTCCAAGGAGGCTCACGTAGTAGATGGAAACTTGGAGATTTTCTGGCTTCCTATCTCTGCATTAGGAGTCAGACTCAGCCTCAACATTGGTGGCGAAAGGGAATCATTGACCTCGAAACCCTAC